AATAGAGAATATTTTTTTAGTGTAAAATTTGGTGGAGATGAAATTTTTTTTTGACACCAAAACATTAAATTACTAAATTTAGTGTAATGGTTGGAGATGAATTTGTGGAACCGTTTGAGTCACGCCATCCCCGTCTTATACCTCTTAACATTTTACTTTCTTGCGATGTCCATGCATTGCATGATATGTTCCCCGCCTGTTTTGGTTTTTGGACGGTTCTCCCGTCTCCATTCTAATAAAAACAAAAAAAGAATAATGTTAACAATTTTTCACGTGGAGCAATAATCATCTTATGAACAATAATCTGTATTATTACATATATGCTCTATCATATCGAATACAAGAATTAATATAGTATATCTACAGATGAAACTAGACTTTTAACTTACGAAAGATGATTTTGTTGTACTTCTACTTTTTGGAAATGATTTTTTCTTTTGCTCTGAGAAGTGAATTGATATGCAATCAGGGCCGTGCTTACAAATTTCCCAAATAATATATATATTTTGGAGCTCCGAAAAAAACAAAAGGCATTTATCTAGGACCCCGAAATAATATATATATTCTGGAGCCCCAATTTCCCAAATATCATTGGTAGTGCAGAGGTTATCTTAACTTTCGGAAGACCTCCTCTTAACTCCCCAGCCGGGTTCGAAGCTTGAAATTCTTCGTTTACGTGAGATTGTGCCTCCAGCATTACTAGTTATTTTTTCTTCAATTATTTTATATTTCAAATAAAATTTTCTATTAGTTTTCTCTCCTCGTGGTGTAATTTTCTGTATAATTCTTTTATTAATTTTGATCTCTTTATTTATATCTACGACTCTTTATGATAAAAAAAACCAACATTGATGCTTGTGTAGTGTTTCCATTATATTAATAATCCTCATGTTTCACTTTTCTTTTGATTTTGCTAAATCATTGAAGTTACGTTACAAGAAAATTGTATAATTTAATTATCATATCTATAGAAAAAGAGTTGGTTCGACAAATCATTTACGAAAACTTGTCAAAAAGTTCACAAAAACAAAAAAAGGTTGTCATAAATTCGTTTTTTTAACGTTTTAGAATCTTTTGTAGGTTTTATACTTTATTCACTATTATTTCTTATTTTAATCACTTATAAGATTTAAAATTACGGTTAAAAAAATTATTGAAAAGACCCTTTTTTTAAATCGCATTGGGCCTCTAGAAGTTTTGGCACGGCATTGTATGCAATGCGTAATATATAGAGGGATTATCCAACGAAATCTTTTTTTCTTCTAAAGTAAATATTTTCTGTAGCAAGAATTTGAATTATATCTAACGATCTATATCTTCACTATTTTGTAGGGATTTTTGTTGACTGGAGTTATAAGTGAACAAGAATTATAGTATTTGTAACGTAACGTAGAAAAGAGAAATTAGACCAACGTTTTTTTTTATAACCGGGGGTGTGCGGGTTTTTACCACCCGACTAAT